CGCCCTATAGCAAAAACCTCTCCAAAAATAAAAGAAAAAAAAAAAAAAACCCAGAGGAATGTGAGCCAGTATCATCAAAAGCAAGGATGGGGTTGCTGGCCAGGCCCACGCTCCGCAGACTAGTATCTGCGACAGCAGAGCCAGACATCAGCTATGGATGCGAAGCTTCAATGGGCGCTTTCAGACATCTGTAGGTAGAAAAGTAGGGCAGGTTAGGGGGACAAAAGTACTCTTTATAAAGATGCAGACACGGATAGAGTTAAGTATTTTTTACAAAAGACTCTCAAAACCATTGTCTCATTTGATCCTTGTTTCGGTCAACTCTGGGAGAGAGGGCAGCAACGGTTAAGAAAAAATGGTTTTCAGTTCACACTGAGCCAGTTGGTCCTGCATAAACAGCCCACCCTGGGAGAAGGAGCTGGGGCACAGAACGAGGCCTCTGCCACAGCGAGTCAGGCTTCCACTGGGAACTGGATCTCCCTGAGTGGCCAGGACACTTGTTGGAACCAGATTTGTATATCTAGACAGATAACCATGAAAATCCAGACCCCTACATAGAATGAGAAGCCAAGCTGGCCCGTTCCTCCCACCACCATGGTTTTTATTATGATTATTATTGTATTTTTATAATAGGGCGCATGTGCATGAGAGAGAGCAAAAGAGAGAAAGCACCCTCAGCAGAGATCTGCGCCTTGATCACCCCCACCCCCAGCCCAGCTCCTCAGGCTCTTGGGTGCCTGCACATGTGGCATCTTCAGGCTGGCCTGGGATTCTGACTCTTGGTCACTTGCTATAGCCTCCGTTTATCCAACCTGGGCTTTTGTTAAACATTGCTTTCCCCCCAACCCCAAACTCAAGCCTCTTTTCTGTCCCACTCTGCCTCATCCACACCAAGCCCAGCCTCTACTTCGTATGGTCAGTAGAGCCTCCAAGCCCTTCCCCCAGGATCCTAGCAGATCATTTTTCATCTTCTGACACTCCTCTTGTCTCCAGTTTTTATGCTTTGTTAGAGATACACATGTGCAGAGTTCCTCAATGCTTGTTAAATCAGCAGCCAAGCCAGCAGGTGGCATGGAGGTTAGAGTGCTGGATCCCACATAGCTGATTGTGTGGTTAGAGTCCCAGACTGACCCGCTTGGAAATCACGCTGGGCTTGTGTGTGCGTGTGCATGCCTAAAATCCTGATAGGAGACTGGGAGAAGGGACTGCAGCATGGCCATCTCCCCTAGGGGGTGATTTCTCACTTTCTCTCTCTCTGCTGAGCACACATGCCCTGTAGCCACAAAGAAAAAGGAAAAAAAAAAAAATCAGTGGCCTCCCTGTCTTCTCCCATCAACATTTTTCCCTCCCTAGATACACAAATATGAAACATTTTAGGAAAAAGGATACAACCAAAGAGAATATCAAGGAAAGTTACCTCCAAGGAAATAAAACTAATAGAACCAATAGGCTTTTTATTTTTTCAGGTTTTTGCCATGCATGCATTCATCAGAGAGAGACAGAGAGAGATGGAAAGTGGTAAATCACCTCCCGGGGAGATGGCCACACCGCAATCCCTTCTCCCCCATTCTCATCTCTGGATTTGGGGCATGCATGCACATGCACCTGCCATGATTTTCAAACCACCCTTCTTGGACTCAAACTGCGGTCAGCCATGTCGGAGTCCAGCACCTTAACTGCTACACTACCTGCTGGACCCTGATAGGTTTTTTTTTTTAATAATTATTTATTTAATCTTATTTATTTTTATTGGACCAGAAAGGGACAGACAGAAAGGGAAAGTGAGAAAGCAAGTCACAAGGTCCAGGACTTGAACCACAGTCGGCCATGTGGGAGTCCAGCCCTTTAATCACCATGCCTCCTGCCAGGCCCCCTGATAGATGGTTAAAGAGTATAATTAATACCCTGAGAGAGATAAGTTATATCCCTGAAATGATGATGTACTTACAGAAAAAGCCAAGTAGAGATACATGGGGTGAAGAAGAGGGCAGCTGGAATCATGCTGGTATTGGATGGGTGGTTTACCTCATGGAGTAGCTAGGATGGAGGAATAAACAAACTAGATGGCGCTGCCCTGCCGCTCATGATAAGCCACATGGGCACACCGAGCACAGCTCCAGAGTCGGCCCATCTAACGTGGGAGTCCTACCAAGAGGAAGAGGACCCTTGGATGAGAGCAACATATGAGAAAATAAGTATGATTCTGAAAGAAAGGTGAATAACCTGGAATTGAAACTTCAGAAGGCTCTGACACAGACATGTGGGGAAAGGTGGCGTGCAGGAGCTAAGTCACCAACATTCTTGATGCATTCCTGGAGCTGCTGCAGATGCTCAGGGAGAGCAGGGACACTCGAGACCCAGACATTTTTAAGTATGTGTACTGGGAACCACAGAATAAACAGAAATAGAATGTAAAATCTGAAACGGATGAAGGAAAAAGTGGATCAAAGGAAATTCGAGGAATCAAACAGTAGGCACGGGGCGTTTATGGAACCAAGGAGAGGCCCAGCAGCAGAGGCACAGGAAGTAGTTAAACGACTTTTCAAATAAGTCACTGCATAGCAGCTTCCTTCCCTTCCCTTTCTGGGAAGGAAGATATTTTAAACATTTTCAACATCACACAGGACATTTGCTGTAGGTTTCTCAGAGAGATTTGATCAAGTCGAGGTCATTCCCATCTCTTTGGAGTTTGATAAATGGTCAATTATAAACTGGATTTTGTATTTTATTATATTGGCTTTTGACCAACTGTTTTTAAGATTCATTTGTAAGAGAAAAATATCAGGACCAGCAGTTGGTGTAATGACTATGTCGCTGGACTTCCATGTAGTCGACCGCGGTTCAAGTCCCAGACTCAGTGGCTTAAACTCATGCCAGGAGGAGGGTGGAGGAGAAGGGACTGCCGGCATGGCCATCCTCTCTGGGGGGTGATTTCTTGCTTTCTGTTTCTCTGTCTTTGTGGCAAGTGTACACGCCCTATAGCAAAAACCTCTTCAAAAAAAAAAAAAGAGAGAGAAACAAGTCCATGAAAAATGAAAAGAACTTTTCTCATCAAAGTATTTTTTCCTGTATATTCAACTATCCTCTTACATAAACTCTATCCTTTGGGTTTTATTTTAAACACACAGACAAACATACATGAGGGGACTTCAACAAGTTCACAGAAAAATAGGACTGAAATATTAGGGGTTTTTTGGTGCAAAAAAATTGAAATCTACAGTTTTTTTCATACACGAACTTTTTTTTTTTTTGGAAAGGTTTTTTGCTATAGGGCACGTGTGCTTGCCAGAAAGAGAGAGAGAGACCAAAGCAACGTAGAAACACCCCCCCCCGGGGGGGGGATGGTCATGCCACAATCCCTTCTCCTCCATTCTCTTCTCGGGATCCTGGGCACGCATGCACACACGCGCAGCTTGAGTCTAAGCCACCAGGTCCGGGACTTGAACCGCGGTCGACTACACGGGAGTCCAGCGACGTAGCCATTACGCTAACTGCTGGTCCCCATACATGAGCTTTTTAAAGACCCCATATGTAGGTTCTGAAATAACCCTGTCATTTCCAGACACAGGAGCAGTAACCATTCTTTACCTGCTAAGATACAGTAAAAATGGGGGACCAGCAAATGGAGTAATGGACTCCCACATAGTTGACCGCAATTCAAGTCCTGGACCTGGTGACTTAAAACTCACGCTGGGCACATGCGCATATATGCCCAGAAATCCTGAGAGGAGAACAGAGGAGGATTACAGTATGGCTGTCTCCCTGGGGGGTGATTTCTCACTTTCTGTCTCTCTCTCTCTCTGTCTCTCCAGGGAACACAAGTGCTAACATCTATAGCAAAAATCTTTCTTTAAAAAAATAAGATACAGTAAAAATGTGCTACTTGGGGCCAGAAGGTAACATGGTGGTTAGAGCTGACCACAGTTCAAGTTCCAGGTCTGGAGACTTGCTTTCTCACTTTCCCTCTCTCTCTCTTTTTCACTCTGTCTCTCTCTAGTGAGTGCATGTGCCCTATAGTAAATTTAATATAATAATAATAAATAAAGTTAAATAAATAATTCCTTTTTTCTTTCTTCCTTTTTTTTTTAGAGAGGGATTTTTGCTATAGGGCGCATGTGCTTGCCGGAGAGTCAGAGAGAGGAACAGAAAGACAGAGAGCAAGAAATCACCATTCAGGGGTGATGGCCATGCCACAATCCCTTTTCCATTCTCCTCTCAGGATTTTGGGCATGCATGCACATGCACCGAGTGTGTGTTTCAACCCTCCCAGCTGAGGACCCGAACCACGGTTGGCCATGTGGAAGTCCAGCAATGTAACCATTATGCCATGTGCTAGTCCCAAGAAATAATTCTTTAAAAAAAAAAAGTACTACTTAAGGACAAGGGCTCCAACTCCAGTTCTGTCACTTATTAGATGTGTGCCCCAGTCACTTTAATTCTGGCCATTTCCTCCTATAAAATGGGACTAATATGTACCTTACATTAAGCATTTAGTCGTATAATGGATGTCACTGTTAGTTCACGCTCTGTCATCTACTGAACAAGCCTTGTCTCCAGGACCGCACATCAGCCCTGGACTAACTGTGCTTCCTTCCTGGGTGATTCGCCAGGCTTAATGGGAATACGGATGAAAAGTGTACCACAAGTCCGCTGCATCTAAAGGAACCATGGAGACTCATCGGGTCAGAGACTGACTTTGAAGCCTCCTCCCACTGCAGTTATAGCTCATGAACCTGAGCACATGGCAACCCCTCAGAGCCTCTGTTTCTCACCTGTAAAGTGTGACTGACAACAGTAACTATGACACAGTGGCTGTGAGGATACAATGTCCTCTGGCACACAATAAGCACTCAGAGAGAGACATTGTGTCTACTTTTTCCCTTCTCCTTTCCTCACACAACCTTTTCTGCACTACTGAGAAAAGGCATAGACACCGAAGTGCTTGGAAGCTCCATGGAGAGAAACTGAGGCCCAGGCCCAGCTCTGGGATGAGGAGTCACCTGTACTGAATGCCCTGTCCTCAGTCCTCGCCTCAGCACCAGGTAGAGAGCATCCTCATCCTTGCTGGTGGACCGCTTCTCAGCAAAGGCCAGGAAGGTGTGTGCAGGGGGCACGTAGAGCAGGGCTGGGATCCGGTAGGTAATGCCTCTCTTGTCTTCTTGCTGGAACAGAGGGTAGTTGACGGAGCATGGTGTCACTTCTTCCATGACCTCTGCAAGGAGAGGAGACAGCTTAATGTGTGTCCATCGCAGATGCTGGCCTGCACACAAGTTCTGCCCCATCATTCCATTTTGGAGAGCAGAGGGAGGCAGAGGTGTATTCAAATGCTCATGTGTTTATACAAAGGGACCATCACAGTCCCAACAGCACAAAGCAAGCAATACGCATCTTTATTTAATGATCTATTCTCTGGATTCTGGGAATCCTATGAGGCCCGTGTCAAGTGTGAATCCCTATACAGAGGATCTGCACTTGCTTCTGCCAAGTATCCTAGGGTATTACCAGCCTAGGATGGTTTTCAATGCCCATTTCCTGGTTGGACCTTCTAGCCATTCGGATATGATCCATGTTAACCCAAATCCATATGCCTGTGGTTAAGAATTCTCTAGGAACGGGCCAGCAGGTAGTGTAATGGTTGGGATGCTGGACTCACACAGGTTGACCATGGTGCAAGTCTTGGACCTAGTAGCTTGCTTTCTCACTTTCTCTCTACTTCTCTTTCTCTCTCTCTCTCTGATGAGTGCACATGCTCTATAGCAAATTAAAAAAATAATAAAATTAAATAAATAATTCTTTTTAAAAATAAATAAATAATTCTCTAGGAAAGTTGTTCCCTGTATCAGAACCAAGACTACAAGGCAATCTTCTCTGTCATCTCCATATCAGTAGGGAGGATATGTTTTCCTAGTTCACCCTATTCAGTGTGTACACCCTACACTGGGTGTAGAGCTCCTAGGAATTTACCTTCATGTGGGGAATCTCAATTTCAACTAGAGTCTACTCATGTGGACCTGTTGCTTCATTTGCTTTATCAGAAGGTCTATAAACGTCCAAGTTTCTGGGTAAAGATGACTAGCAAACCAGGCACCTGAGAGCAGGTTAAGGGGCTAACTACTCTGGTTGTCTGTTCCCTCTTACTTTCCAGGTCCCTGGAGGTCTCATTTACTTTCTTTCAAATTCGGCTCTAAGGGCTTTATTTACCCACCATGTTACAGGTTAGTTAGCCCCACCACAATGCTGACAATGCAAGTCTCCAAATACTCTTCTCAAAGATAACCAAGTTTCGCTTCCCAGAGGCCCCCGAATGGTACCACACCAGACAGACAACCAAGCTTAGAATGACTTCTTCCACAAACCGTCTGTCATCCAAGCCCTACCTTATAAACCATTTGTAAAAATTATCAAGCTGTAAGAACTACTCTTGGAAGCTCTTTCTTAATTCAATAAATATTTCTGGTTGCCTACTCTGTGCCAGGCCATAAGCTAGGTGCTGAGGAAGCAGATGAATCAGAGGATCCTGATCTCAGGAAACCCGCATCTGTGTGAGGCAAATGGACACACCCCCCAGCTCCAGGCATGGACAATTCCAGTATGATGTAGTAAGTGCTACTTTAGAGGTCAACACAAGGGCAAGGAAGAAAACAGATGAGGGCATCTGTCCGGACCAAGGCCTCAGAGATTTGAAGGGGTAAGAAGTGAGCTCCTGCCTCACGCAGTCACGCGCTCTGCCTGAACACGCTCTCAGGTGGCCAGCAGCTCTCTCCCACCTCTTCAGCTCAGTTCGAACACGGAACCAGCAAGGCCTTCCCTGGTCACTCCCTTTCCCCGCTCAATCCTCACTCATCACCCTTCACTGTCTCATATATCACACTTGGGTTATACATACTACCAAATCGAAGTGCTGTAAAGGGCAAGGACATTGTTTTACTCACTGCTACTGTCAACCATATGATAGAATAAAGATGTAACTGAGAGAACAATAAGATTGAAGGCAGGGGCGGGGGGCTGGCAAGTGGCATGGTGGTTAAGGGCTCTGGACTCTCACATGGCCGACCATGGTTCAAGTCTCGGACCTGGTGGCTTGCTTTCTCACTTCCTCTCTCTCTCTCTGTCTCTCTCTGATCAAACTGGAAAATAACAATGATAATAATAAATAAAGTTAAATAAAATAATTATTTAAAAAAAAAAAGATCGAAGGCGGAAACACATTGCAAAGCAACCAGTTGGGACAGTGCTGAGAGCACGAAATCCAGAACACTGGCCTGAGATCAGTGTGGAAAACTATGCGGATCATGAAGCTCAAGACAGACCCAACAGGAAAGAATCTATGCAAGGTCCCCGCCAGGAACCGTAAGGATTATGTGTCCCAGATAACAGTAATGGCCTCCAAGAGTTAATCTTTCTTTAAGAGCTTGCTGTTCCTCACATAGCAGACAGAACATTCACCCGACTCCCTTTACGATAGCTTAAACTGTCTGTAAAATAAAGCATCTGGGCTCTCACCCTTGAGGTTCTGAGGACCCCCTTCCCATACTTTTGTGTCTGTCTCTTTCTTTATCCTCTGTGCCACTCCTTCATTCGCCCAGTTCACCAGTATGGATCCGGCACACGACCCCACCTCCACACCTAGAACCACGCCTGGCACATGACAGGCACTCAACAAATACTTGATGACTGACTGACTGAATGAATGAGTGAGCTGGAGCTTAAGGAATGAATAGGGAGTTAGTCAACTGACAATGAAAAGGAGAAGGGCAGAGGGAGTGGATATGAAAATAGGCAACAAAAACATAACGAGCAGTGAGGACTCACAGTAGTCCGGTCCTACAACAGTGAGGTGGAATAGAAATGGAACCGAAGGAGTCAGCAGAGTCCAGATCCTGGGAGGCTCTGAGACCTTGTTAAGGTGTTGATCCCACAGACGGGGGCCACTCAAGCACTTTTGACAGAGGAATGGCATGATCATTCAGACTGGTCTCTCACAGAGCTTTCTGGGCAATTCACTACAGGGCAAAATTGTATCGCTTTTGGCTACAGCCTTGTTATACCTAATATGTTGTTTTACTTGCTGTGAAGAATTGTTACACTTGATATATATTGTTTAATGGCTAAGTTAGTAGTTTGCTGTGAAGAAAATGTTTGATTGTAACACTGCGTACTGAGAGCATACCTGACTCCATTTTGTAGTACATTCAGCCTGGCATTAGTCAAGTTCCTGGAAATTCGACACTCAGCCAACCCCCTAGTGCTTATCACTGATAGCAGACTAGCCACATGCTGACAGATAACACGAGGGACGAGGGACGTGAGCATGGTCTATGCTCCACCCCACTCCTCCATGACGAGCAAAAATATCCCACTTTGTTCTGACCAAATCCCATAGACTTACATGTAAAATACTCTGTTTTGTCAAGTGACCATGAGCCTGCCAAAATTAGACATAAAAAGAGGAGCTTGAGCCCAGCTCATCGACTCTGTCCTCCCCTTGGGCCAGATCCCGTCTCGCTGCATCTGAGATCTCCCTTGCAGCCAGAGGCCCTGTCAGGTTTGCATATGGCCTCCTCCTCGCCCTAACGGCCCTCCGCTCTGCTGTCTTTGATGCTCCGTTGTCGGCCACTAGCCCTGACCTCCGTAATCTAGGATCGCCAGGTGTACTTCCTCCTCACTCGCCCTTGGTCATCTTGTGGCCACTGCCACCATTACACTCTAAGATTTTCATGGAGCTCATCCCCAGCTCGCCGCCTTTGTGTCGTAGATGCCCAGTGGACTCAGCACTCGACCTCCCTCTAGCCCTTGCTGACCACACTCCCATCGCCGCGCTTAGCATAGGACACTGTGCAGCTCATCCCATCGTGACTTGTAAGCCCCCCTTTTCCCTGTGCGATTAAAGTAACTTGATAGGCAAACCTGAGTGCTGTCCTCCTTCCGTGGGCTAGAGCACAGATTGGCTGTAATTGCTTGGGCAGCTGACAAACGTGAATCGAACCTTTATTAAGTCGTGCTTAAACTCTCCCTCCCTCTCGCTCCCCTTCCAAAACTCCCTTTCCCTTCACTGCTGCTCTGCACGACAAGTCTCCTAGTGACAATCCAGACAGACTTTCATCAGTAGCACAGGAATGCTTCATTTAGCCACTTGTTTCTAACTTCAGGAAGAGAAGGTTGGCTCTGTGATAATGACTCTATAAAGGGCATTCATCTCTACCTCTCCCTCTCACCCTCCTTTTTGCTCCCACATGCATACTCTATCCATGAATGATATAAAAGGAGAGAGAACAAAAGACAAACAAATAAAAAAAAAGATGGCTCCCTCTCAGAGAGGAGTGGAAGAGGTGGCCTCGCTGAGACCTGAAGAAAGGCATCCCCTCACTCAGGTCCTGGGCTCTCAGCAGTAGAGTCAGACAGGCAAGGGTACATTGCTTTCCTCCCTCAATACTAGAGCACACCTCCTCCCGCCACACACTCATCAGGCTCTGCTGCCAGGGAAGTCCTACTTTCTTCTAAGTACATATCTGTTCTTGAGCCAGGCTGCTGTAATCATTACAAACACAGAATTTGGGCCAGGACAGGACTACAAGATCTTGGGCCTGTTATTTGACTTGTCTTTGCATCAGCATCCTCACCCATAAAATTCAGTAGAGTGGGTTGGAAGAATTAAAAAGCTTAAGTTTAGTAAGTGTTATAAGGCCTATAACATAGTATAAGCACAACACATGTGACAATTATTTTTAGACAACCAACCACTGCATATTCTAGTTTTATCCCTTTAAATCCAGGGGATCATGATGATGGTGATGATGATGATGATAACTCCCTTCTTTTTTTTAATAATTATTCATTTAATTTTATTTATTCATTCATTTATTTTAATTTGACCAGAGAGAGATACACAGAGAGAGAGAGGGGAAGTGAGAAAGCAAGCCACCAGGTCCGGTACTTGAACCGCGGTCGGCCATGTGGGAGTGTCCAGCACCTTAACCACCATGCCACCTGCTGGTCCCGATAACTCCCTTCTTAAAAGCATTTAAATCCTTCTTTACCTCTGGGGAAAAGTATACTTTAACTAAGGTAAGACTTTAATTATGAGTCATATCAATACTATTAGTTGTTAACCAACACGTGACTATTAGTTAACACCTCAACAAGGAGTCTCTGGATGCTAAGAAGAACGGAGCACAGGATAGGCATGGAGTGGGATGGAAGAACTCGGAAAAAGGAAAGGGAGAGGAAGTGCAGAGGTCATCAAAAGAGAAGCACAACTCGCCATATAGACTGGACTCATGTCCAGGTGACCTTGCACTGGTCACTCAACCTCCCTAGGCCATCGATTCTTTGCCTGTAAAATATGAATAATAGTATCTACCTCAGAGGATCAATACGAAGAACCATGAAACATATTTCATAAACTTGAAGGCACGATAGAAACCTTCAATTGCTATAAATTTGGGGGTCTTCCATTTCACCTGTGGTTCAGCTATCCCTAAAACAATTAAAGTCATCCTCATTCATTTGTATAAAGATTATGCGGTCACGGTGGTGACAGTGGTGACACAGACGGCCACTCTGGCACTGACACCCAAGCTATTGTATACCGACCATGTGCTGGGAACCAGAGGTAGAGAAGCATCAGACATAAATCTGCTTTGGAGTCCTTCATTGTAAGCAGACTATTCAAGTGACAACTTGTTGCACCATTTAATCACCTTCCCCGCAAGCCCTATCTGCTTTCTTTCTAGGGGATGGTGTGACACAGGATGGACTCTGTGGTCTGACTTAGCTACACTTACCAGCAAATCACTATACCTTTGAGCCTCAGTTTCCTTACTTGCAAAAAGGAGATAACACCACCCATTTCTCATGCTTTCGTGACAATGTCATTGCACAACCTCCAACTAATGCAGTGAGTCCCAGGAAAACGCCCAGCTGATTTATTCACTCCTACCAACTACTATTTATGGAGCACCTACGATGTGTCAGGCCTGCGAAGATCCTGTAGTGAACTCCCTCGTGGTACGGAGGGGAAAACTCGGTCCCACAGAAGGCGAAAAGCTTAGGAAAGTCCTCTCGGTAGCAATACCTGGGTCAAGACCAAGGTTCCTAGATTCCAGGCCCTTCCTGCTGCCCCTCTCTAGTAGGAAGGATTCCCACAGTCTCCGTTCCCTTTCATCTCTACCGTGCTAATCCCACGGCTAGAGTTTGGCTTCGGTGAGAAGAAAACACACAGAACTAGCCAAGAGCAGCAGAATGGGTGGCTCTGTCTCAAGACTGGATCTGCTGAGCGTACACGGTGCAGACTGTGCCCACAGCCGCAGTGCCCCACTTTTAGGGAGCTCTCTGCCTCCCCAGCCCGCTCACCTGCGCTGGACCCCGGCTCTTCGGTTGCTCCCAGGACAGAGCTGGGCGCAGGGGGCTCCTCCATCAGGTCTCAGACGCTGAGGCCGAAAAGGACCTGCACCACCTCTGTGGTGACGGCGAGAGAGAAGGGAGAGATCGTGGAGAGAAAAAAGGCACTCTGGACCCGGGGACAAGCCGCCGGACTGCAGGGCTCAGGGACAGCAAGTGAAGGCCCGGGGAGATCTGGAGCGAAACCGGGGCAAAAGTACGAGGAAGGGAACTGGCGGCGCAGGGCAAGATACTGAGCCCGGCCGCTGCAACACCTCAGAGGGCATCCGCTGGGGTGTGTGGAGGGCGTGGGGGCGGTGCCCGGTTCGCCCCGCCCCCAGGGCCCCCCTTCGCTCCGCCCCGCCCGTCGCCCCGCCCCCGTCACCCGCCTCTGCGTCCTTCAGCCGCGCGGCAGCAGCCTCGGCCTTGTCTTATCTGTCTTACCACCGATCAGTCCAACTCAACTCAGGCCTTAGGGTTCCTGGAGTCCCCCAGTGACGGCTGTGTCCCCCAGACCGCCCTCAAACTTCCCTCTCCCGCTCCGTGCTAATCCTTTTTATAGCTATTGGTTTATCTGTTGATAGGTATCACCGCCTAAAACTTCCCTGGACAGCCTGAGACTCTAACAAAGGTTCCGGGCCTCAGAGGGGACGCTACGAAAAGGACCCCGCGGTCCAGAGCATCGGCTACACCTCTTGCAAAACTACCAATTAAATATTAGTACATGCAGTTTACTAGTTGTGTATATATGCACGTATTTACATACATATATTTGACGCAGAGTACCGAGTCCATTCTCCTGTCACAGAATCTAATACCCCTCATCACCCGGAAAAGGAGAAAAGACCATCTTTCAGTTGGAGCTAAGTACAACATAAAGGAATTAGTTAAAAGCCAATAAGGGGAAATACAGACTGCTAAATTTGAGGCGTTAAAATTTTTAAACATTTGTAAGTTTGAATTCTTGATATATTTTCTGCATTAAAAAATGAGGAGGAGGAAGAAGAGGTAGAAGGAAGAGGAGGAGGAGAAGAGGAAGAAGAAAAGAAAAAGAAAACGAACTCATGAAAGGATTGGTGTTTTTCTCTCAAGGAACACAGGAGCCAACCTGAATACAACCTGATGTATTTATTTAAAAAAAAACAAAAACAAACAAACAAACAAAAATCCTAAAATTAAAGAGTAATCCGGCAGCAATGAGCCCAAATGATAGTCTTAAAATACTATTTCTTCCTCAAAGGAACCAGGGTTCTATGGGGAAAAGTGGCCAATTTCAGATTCAGAGAAGAAAATGTACAATATTAGTGTACTACTCTTGTCCTACCAGAAAGCAAGGAATCAGCAGCAGTCATGGGGTGGTGTCAGGAGAAGACAAGAGGCAACCTGAAGGAAATTCCACAGGCCAAATATGTAAAAATTTGAGCACCTGCAAGAATAATGGCCAGAAAGAATTAAGTATACTAAAATTTATGAGTTCATACTGACATGTGGAGAACAAAGTTACTTTGGTCACCTCAGGGGTTGCTAATGTAAGAATCAAGTTTTTATTCTGCCTTTGCTGTACAAACTATGTATCAGAGTAACCAACTACTTCTTTTTTAAATTTTTATTTATGATGATGATTATTTAATCATCAGAGAGAGAGAAAGAGGGAAAGCAAGAAAGCAAGCCCCTAGGTCCAGGACTCAAACCACTGTTGATCATGTGGAAATCCAACACCTTAATGACCACACCTCCAGCCGGCCCTAGAATAGTTCTTTATAAAACAATCAGCTAGTAAGTGTTGAAAGGCTGATAGAATTACTGGTTTGTCAGAAAAGTCATGACACATTTTTATTTTTTTTGAGCGGTTTTTGCTATAGGGCATGTGTGCTCTCCAGAAAGACAAAAGAGAGACAGAGAAACAAAAAGTGAGAAATCACCCCCCCCCGGGGGGGGGATGGCCATGCCATAATCCTTCCTCCTCCATTCTCCTCTCTGGGGATACGCATGCACACATGCGTGGCATGAGTTTAAGTCACCAGGTCTGGGACTTGAACCATGGGTGACTACATGGGAGTCCAATGACATAGCCAATATGCCACCTACTGGTCCCAGTCATGATACATTTTTACATAAAAATACACGTCATTACTATTCTGACAACCCAATAGAATCTCACCATTTTGCAACCTCTACTGAAATAATAAATCTAGACAGTAATTATCAATAAAGTGATTATCAATGGCCGCTGAATCCATTAGGTAAAAGACTAGTGAAAATTTTTATAACAGAAGGGTCAGGCCAAAAGCACCTGAACCCACTGAATAATTATAATATCACAAAAGAAGGAAACCAGATATTATGTGACCTCCTGATGTGATGCAATAAGAACTACACAGAGTTTTTTATGGCATATTCCTGTACCCCCCAAAATCAAACAAATAGTAGAAAACACGTTAAATGACACCATCAGGATGCAATCAGCCAACCATAACATGGGAAATCTGCAGGGAAAAATGATGTGGTTTGTATTTTTTAATAATGATTTAATTTAATTTATTATTATTATTTCTTAATTTGACCAGAGAGAGACACAGAGAGAGAAAGGGAGAGAGCAAAGTGAAAAAACAAGCCGCCAAGGAGTTCTGAGTGGCCCCATTCTGGGATTTCAACCCCTGAAGACCCTCTGCCCAGACTTCACCCTCTTGCTGCCCAGTCAAGCCAAGAGCCAGGACAAGCCAATCAGCAGCCATCTATATTTGAGATCTGAGCGGCCCTATTCAGGGATTTTGACCACAGAAGACCCTCTGCCCAGATTTCAACCTCCTGCTCTCCTGTCTAGGAAGGAACAAGTTAGAACACTCTACTTATTCTGTCTCTTTCCATCTCTCTCTCTATTTTTAATTTTAAAAAATTGTTTTAACTTAGCTCTCTGCTGCTCTTTTGTCTTTCTAATTCTTTCCTTTCTCCCTGCCCCACAGGATAAGCCAATCAGCAGCCATCTATATGTGAGTTCTGAGCAGCCCCATTTGTGCAGCGCGCTAGTGCGCCATGCAGTTTTCATTTTTTGACAAAAAATTTTTTTCTTGTCTTTTTCTTACTGTTTTTGTCTTTTTTCCCCCCTCTCTCATCTTTTTTATTTTTTTCTATTTCTTTTCCTTTTCTTTTTACCTTTCTCGCTCTTCTGTTCAGCCTCCACACACTGATTTTCTAGACAGGTCTAGGTGCTCAGTAGCCAACTATCTGAATATTTTTAGGGTCAGGTTAATCCTCAATTTTCATTGAACCAGCTGTGCAAAGGGAGAAATACAGTACTGTTTATAGACTGCAGGTCACCTCCTTCTGCATTCCTCTCATTGCTCAGATTTAACTCCAAAAAAATAGGAAAAAACTTAAAATCCATCAGATGACCAGAAACCACTGCTGAGGCACAAGAAATATGAGAAACCAAGAAAATATTTCTCCTTTAATGGAAAAGAATAACTCCTCTTCCTCCACAAAGAATACAAGGGAACTCATGGAAATGTCAGATAAAGAATTTTAAATATTCGTAGTGACAAAGCTAACAGAGATGCAAAAGAATAGAGACAACGGAACTCAAGAAAATGCAGGAGAGAAGAGACACTGAGTTCCAGGAGGTGAGGAAGTTCTTACACAATCTAGAAAACAGATTCACATCATAAAAAAGAAATGGAATTGTTAGAGATGAAGGCTGTAATACAAGAAATCCAAACTTCCATTGAAAACATCAAAAGCAGATTAGATCATGCAGAAGTCTAATCTTCTCAGATGCAGAAGATAGAATCTCTTACCTAGAGTAATTCACCAAAAATACTGAGAAAATAACCCCCCATAAATGAGAATAACATACAAGTTATGCTAGATATCATTAAATGCCCATTAAATACCCAAACATTTGGATCATCGATATCCCAGAAGGTGAAGAAACTAAGGGCATTGATAATCTATTCCATGAAATACTGCAAGAAAACTTTCCAAACCTAGAGAGGCATTCAAATATCATGACCCAAGATATACGAAGGACCCCACATAGAATCAATCCAAGAAGATCTTCCTGAGGCACATCATAGCCAGATTGACCAAAACAACAGACAGAGACAAGAAGCTAAAATTGGCAAGAGAGACGCATCAAATTACTTTTGAAGGATATCCCATAAGGCTAACATCATACCTCTTATTGGAAACAATGCAAGCAAGGGAAAAAATGGGAAAATATATTCAGTGTTAAGTCAAAAACAATTTCAACTATACCCAGCCAGATTATCTTTCATATGGGTAAAAAAAAAAAAAAAAAAGAAACAAACATTCACATTCTCAGATTTAAAAAATCCTGAAAGAATTTACCAACACCAGACCAGGTCTCCAAGACGTGCTAAAAGGGAGTGCTATACCAGGAAAACTAAAGTCAGACATACAGAAATTAGAGTACAAGAAACAACCAAAAAATGGCCGGCCTAATGGTAGGGACAAGTCTGGAGTTGAACATTAACTTCTAGAGTTTAAATGGAAATGTCAGACCACAGTAGCACTGTAAATTCAATAGAAGAGAGATTAATCATATGAGCCCAAACTAGTGAAATAGAATTTTTGACTTTAGACTAAAAACATTACTGATTTTCTTCAATGCTTCGATCTCAGTATTTAAGGATTTTTGTCTTCTCTTGAACTGTTGATAGATTCAGCTACCTACTATTTGAACTGAATCCTAACCTTTTTCCTGGCTTTAAGTTTAAGCAAATTTCTCTTAACTTTTTTTATTTTGATCTATTAAAACTAAAACTTTTTACATTAAAAAATGCATTTTAAAAAATACCTATTAAGGTACCAGTGGGTGGCATAATGGCTACATTGCTGGATTCCCATGTAGCAGGCCACAGTTCAGTCCCAGACCTGGTGGCTTAAACTCACACTGGGCACATGTGCATATGTGCCCAAGATCCAGAGAGGAGAATGGAGGAGAAGGGATTGTGGTGTTGCCATCCCCCTTGTGGAGGTGATGATTTCTCACTTTCTATCTCTCTCTGTCTCTCTGGCGAGCACACACGCCTCATAACAAAAACCTCTCAAAGGAAAATACCTATTAATACCTATTGATTGACTGCAGTAAACTATATAGCCCCAGCAAGTTGCTACTTTACTCACTGGCGTTTATGCCTAAAGTTAGACATGTGTTCATAAATATGTATATATCAGCTGTGCTTACTATTGAAAATCTTTACATTAATTAAGCTCTTTAGCGAATCAATAAAATGTTAAATAAAAAGCATGGAAAA